GACAATTTACCAAAATAAAGTGATTGATTGATTGATTGATTGATTGAGTATTTTCCCGAGTATCGGTATGGAGTAGAACATGTTAGTACGGTGACAGCCCTAACTCTAGCCCCCTGAGTTTTTTTCTTTTTTGTCTTTTGTTGTTTCTTGTGTTCAATGTGGACAAGTTACCAAAATAAAGTGATGTCACTTGTCAATGTCAATAGGGCCTTTTCAGCAGCCAGGCCTGGGCGGCCGCTTACCTTCGATGCTGAGGTTGGCGGTGGTCTTGTCGGAGCCGCAGTCGCAGCTGTAGGCGCCGATGTTGGCCTTCTCCGCCTTCCTGACCGTCAGGATGCGCTTCTTTCCGTCGCTGCTGATGGCGATGTTCTTGGAGGGAGTGATCTCCTTCCCGTCTTTCAGCCACTTCACCTCGGCCACGGCTTTGCTGAGCTCGCACACCAGCTTGACCTCGTCCTTCTCCACGGCCGTGTAGTTCTGCAGCTTGGTGGTGAAGTACAGGTCTCCCTCTGTGGAGGCAAAGGCTGGTCAGCATTAGCTCCGCCCCCCCCCCCCAGCAGCACCTCAGAAGGATACACCACTACTGACCCAGCACGGTGAGCATGGCCGTCATGCTCTTGTCCATGGCCTCCACTTTGATCATGGAGGTGTCGTCGATGCTGACCTCCTTGAAGGCCAGCGTGTGCACCCTGCCCTGGTCGGACATGTGCACCACCTTGCTGGGGTGCAGGCGCACATCGTTACGGTACCAGGCTACTTGGACCTTGTCGTGGGAAAGTTCCACGCTGAACTCGGCCGTTTCGCGCTCCTTCACCGTCACGTCTTTGATGGGTTTGACGAACTCCAGGCGGATTCCTGCCGTGGGGACAAAGTCAGCCAGTCAGAGCTGCACGGAAACCTGCAGAAGCCGTTTCCACCCTGGTTTCTGCTGGATCAGGCTTCACCTCTTATGGAAGCTCAGCCAGAACTCTGTCTCATTCTCTAAGTCTGACGCTAACCGGGCTTCTGCTTTGTCCCCATCAGAGTTCCCTCTAACAGCAGCCCCTCACTGCTCCACAGCCCCAGCCCGCTCATCAACCGGCCGAGGCAGATGCCCCCCCACCCTGAGCCATGGTTCTGCTCCAGGTTTCTGCCTGTTAAAGGAAGTTGTTCCTTGCCTGTGTCGCCTAGTGCTGCTCATGGTGGGAATTGTTGGGTTTCTGTAATTAACTTCAGAGTAGGTCTGACCTGCTCTGTTTGGAAAGATAACTGTTGTTGTGATGTTGCGCTATATAAATGAAACTGAATTGAATTAATTTTAATTTTGTAATGTCATTGTCTGAACGTGTGTTTGGACTGATTTTGTATTGTGTGATTTTGTGTTGTTTGGTCTTCCTGCCTCAGGACCACAGATGTAAACTAGCAACTATGCTAGAATCTGGCTCATTTACAATCTGTATGAGATTGTTCATTAATGTGCACTGTCCTGATTAAATAAATAAATAAATAAAAATAAATAAAAAATAAATCATGAGCATCTGGTTCCGCTGTGGCTGCAGAGCCACTCCCCCCAGTCTCCCCCAGGTGCCACATTTGTTTGGGACTTACTAAAGCAGAGAGTTGTGGGCAGATCATTCCTCTATTTGGAATCAAACAGCTTCTTATTTGAGGGTGGATATAGAGGCTCCTGCTCTTACCCTGAATGACCAGTTTGCCCGTCGTCCTCTTGTTCTCGGCCTCATACATGTACTTTGCCTCGTCCTCATACGCGGCCGATCGGATGGCCAGGACGTACAGGTTGCCCTCCTGTGTCATGCTGTACTTGTCGTCGCTCTGCAGCTCCTGCGAGCCTTTGAGCCAGCGGAAGCTCTTCGGGGGCCTCGAGACCTCCAGCTCGAACCGGGCCTCGTCCTTCTCGTACACCATGACGTCGCTCAGGGGCGTGAGGAAGTTCAGAGGCAGCTCTGTGGAGAACAGAAACGGATCTGAGCGGAAGCTGCAGTTTACTGAGATACGATGATGTTCTGCCTATCTTTGTGGCCTTGTGATGGACTTGCAACCCGTTCAGGGTTAGGCTAGGGTTAGGTTAGACCCTAACCCTAGTCTAAGTCTAACCCTGACCCTGACATGTCATAGCTGTGTAGCCTCGGCTGGATCATCAATCCTTCACGTTTGTAGTAGCCGTTTGTCAAACAAACTTTTAACGAAAATTAAATCAAACTTAAAATAAAACAAACGGCAACTTCTGGCACCCTGGGCAGGTATCGTACGCAGGCAAAAGATGATTCCACAAAGAATTGTCATTTAGGCAGTTTATTGCTGTTTTGCGTGAGCAACCTCTTGCACTGGTAAAAAACCATTTGCCCACTACCCAGGTGCCTACAGGTGTGTGCCATTTCTTACTTAAATCCACCCTTACCTGTGCACACCACTACCCCCAGGTGTCTAAAACCAAGCACTACAATTAGAAAATTAACAAATAAACACTAAACATAAAGCAAAACAATTAACTAGACGAATTACAAAAAGAATATTACCAAAATATGAAACTATCACTAATGTAAACAAATTCATAATAAACAAACAAACCAAAATTACCACTACTCAAAGTAAAAGTGCAAAATGGCTCCCACAACGTTGTTGTGACTTCTCACACTGGTTTGTGCATCTGAAACTCTGTGTGTGTTGGAGGTTCACCTTTGACCTTCAGGTTGGCCGAGCACTTGGCGTTTGCCGCGGCGTACCCCACCTCCCCGGTCATGGACACTTTGCAGTTGTACAGGATCAGCGTGTGCTTCCCGCCCTCCTCGATGATGTCCACATCCTGCCACAGGACAACAGGGACCTGTTAGGGACTGCGTGGCAGAACTTTTTTAAGTAAAGGCGGCCCAGCGATACTCACAGAGGACGGGCTGAGCACTTCTCCGTTCAGCTTCCACTGGCCGTGGACGTCATCCTCAGAGATCTCCACCTCGAAACGAGCCGTCTCTCCGTCGAACAGCTCCACGCCGTAGATGGGCCGAACCACCTTCACATCGCGCGCTTGAGGGTTTGAAAAAGATCAAATGGTGACATTTGTGTAGTCTGATCAGAGAGCATGAATGTGAGCTGTTCTGCTTTATGGACTAAGTGTTTGCCATGTGAGTAATTGAGTGTCTGGGTGCTGGTTTACCTTCGATGCTGATGGTGGCCGCCGTCTTGTCTGTTCCACAGTCACACACATACTTCCCCATATCGCTCTGCGTGGCCTTCTTCAGGACCAGAGACCTGCGCATGCCCTCAGACTTCATGACCACCGTCTTGGAGGTGATGATCTCCTTCTCGTTGTGGTACCAAACCACAGGCACGTCCTTGGTCAGTTCGCAGTCCAGCGTCACCTCGTCCTTCTCGGTGGCGGTGTAGTCCTGCAGCTTGACCACGAAGATGGCGTCGCCCTCTGCAGCAAAGCAGGTTGGGAGGGGTCAGATTCAGGGAGACACAGCCAGAGCACGGCAGCTCGAACCAGAACCAACAGAACCACATGGAAATGCTCAGAGGCTGAATAGAGGTGAGGGCGCAGTTACCTATGACCGTCAGTTTGGCTGTGGAGGAAATGCCTTTGGCCTCTGCCTTTATCTGGCAGGTATCATCTAGACTCAGTGTCCTCATTTCTAGAGTGTGCCTCCTTCCTTCCACATAGGTGAGCACGGAGCGGCTCACGTGCAGTTTCACTTCATTTCGGTACCAAACAACCGGCACGTTCTCGTGACTCAGCTCAAGATCAAAGCGTACCGTGTTACCTTCTTTGACTGTTTGGTCCTGAAGCGACTGGACAAATCTGAGTCTCATGCCTGGAATACATCAGGTCAGCGCAGACAAACAGGTTTGTAGCCTTTAGAGTCGTTCAATGCCACAGACATGGAATGACAGCAGACATGAAGCGGTTCTGGGGGGTTCTGCCAGCCACTTACCTTCTACCAGCAGCTGTGCCGTGGACTTTTGGCCCAACACCTCAATGGTGTACTGAGCCTCATCATCAAACTCACAGCTGTTTATGATCAGCATGTGTTTCTTCCCATCATCAATTATTTCATATTTGGGGCTCGGGGTGATGATGTCTGTCCCCCTGAGCCACAGCACCTTTGGCACATCCTTGGTAATGGTGCATTCAAACTTAGCCTGTTTCTTTTCAGGCACAGAGGAGTCTTTGAGCGGCTCAACAAAGCCCATTTCGATCTCTGGGAGGTTTGAATAATTATCAGTTAATCACCAGCAGACACAGCCGCCCTGACTTACCGAGCTCCTCTGCAGTAGCTTAGTTACCACCAACACACACCAGACTCTGAGCGGCTCCCGCCCGTTCCTACCTTTGACGGTGAGCATGGCGCTGGTGTTGGCGTTCAGAGCCTGATAGGACACTTCGCCGGCCTGATCCAGCTGCACGTTTTTCAGCGTGAGGAAACGCTTCCCGCCCTCAGCTTTGATGTCGCACGTCTGTAAACCGGACAGTTAAGGGAGTTTAGATGCTTTTACAACCCCTTTGTTTCAGAGGACAGCAAATACCTCACCCTGGTCACAAACTCTTTGAAACCCTCCCCTCTGGCAGAAGGTTGAGGACCATCAGGACCAAAACCTCACGCCATAAAGACAGTTTTTATCCAGCAGCAACTGGCCTCATCAACAAGACCAGTGACCCCCAACTATTCTTCTCCCCCCCCCTCTACCTCACT